GACTTCTTCTAATCCGCTGTTACAAAAAAAAAAGACTTCTTCTAATCCCCTCGATACGGAATGGGAATCGCTTCCAAAGGAATATCTTTTCTCAATGTAATACCAATTCTTTCTCCCATATCCATTTCTTCTGCCTTAAACCCATTAGCCAATACCCAATCAAACGACCTCACCATCGACCCAAGAGCCAACGGCAAAACCCTTGTCGCCAATGGCAAAGCCGGACACATCCGTCGACCCGACCCGAACGGCAAGAACTCAAAATGTTGTCCCTTGAAATCTCTCGGATTCGGCTTGGATATAAATCTTTCGGGTTTGAACACAATCGGGTCGACCCATGTTTTAGGGTCGCGCCCGATGGCCCAAACGTTCACCAAAATTTGTGTTTCTTTGGGGATAGTGTATTTGTCTAATACGTGACATGTGGACATGGCCTTGTGTGGGACTAGGAAAGGCAGTGGTGGGTGCAGCCTTAGGGTTTCATTGATAACCGCCGAGAGATACGGTAGGTTCGGAAGGTCTTCTTCTTGGAGCTTTTGGTTCGCGGATTTTATGTATGTTCGGAGTTCGGTTTGAAGTTTGGTTAGGGTTCTTGGGTTGTGTAGAAGCTCCGCTAGTGCCCACTCCAATGTGCTCGTTGTCGTGTCCGTACCTGCCGAAAACATTTCCTGTCATTTAAATCGATTATTAATCTTGTATATATAAGAAGACAACTTTATTGAAGTACGATATAAACATTTTTGATGAAAGGGTTTCGAAAATTTCATGTACTTTTAGTTCATTCGTAAAAGTTCAGAAACTTTTTTCAACTTATCTCTGTGGTACGTATTTTTGAACATTAAAAAAAAAAATCAACAAACAAATTTTCAATACCAATCAAAAAGTATACTTAAAAAAAGATTAGTCAAGGATATCAATTTGTATTATAAAATAGTCGTTTTTAGAAACTTACAATCATATGATGAAAGATTTTTGCTATATTTATATTTTTACAATCCATAAAGTCGAATAAATTTTAAATCAAAACTTGAATTAAAAAATAATGGTTATATATAAATCAAGAATATAACTTTTGTTTGACTTACGAAAACAATAACGTTGATATCTCTCGGTGAGAATCTTGAAGGTTCTTCGTCGACTCCATCGCTACCACGAAACTCCAAAAGAACATCTAAGTAATCTTTCGTCTTCTCGTCGCTCTTTTTTCTCTCCCTAACCTCAGTTCGTTCTTTGATAAATTCTCCGGCGATCTCAAACGCGCGTTCCACGTGGAATTGCGTTTGTCTTCTAATGCCTTGTGGGTCAAGAAACCTCAAGAAAGGGAAGAAATCGGCAACGTTTGGTTTTCCGGCGAATTCCATAACTTTTCCGGTGTGGTAAAAGAATTCGGAACCTCTTTTAGAATCGGGATCGAGCAAATCTCGCGAGAAAATGAGGTTTCCGATGAGATTAAATGCCATCAAGAAGAAGTATCTCCCCACATCAATAGTTTTTGTACCTGATAATACACACTTGATTAGTTTCAGAATCAAAAGTTGATTGAACTCATGATACTTTTGAAACCTTAAGATACCCAGAGATGATATAATTATATATGGCAGGAAAAAAAAAAAAGAATTTGTTTTTATTTGTTGACTAACAAATCCCATATATCTGAATATAATTAATATTTCTTGGAGTTTTTTTTTAGTTCTGAAACATTATTTCTTGGAGTTGATCTATAAAATGTATAAACTATTTCTTGAACGTAGGATTCAAACAATGGTAACACAAATTCTACACCTTTAACGAGGTCCGTCTTAAACAATTTTAGAAAAGCCAATAAACGTAAATATTTGATGTGTTAAAATGTACGTAGTAATATTATTTCTTACTACTGAACTATGAACTAGCTGCTGTCATTTTTGTACGTACGTAGTATTATTTCTCTATACTGAACCATGATATAAATAAATTGTGTAACTTTACTAAAAGCATAAGTAGTGGTGATACAATGTGGGTAT